TCGTTTTACAATGCTCCGATCTTCAGGGCTGGGATTTTTCCAGTAGTATGAATATTTTATCACTCTTTTTTCCGATACACTGAACTGAGAGTGTTTCCGCTTCAAGTCTGCCTGGATTCGCGTTTCATTTTCCCAAAAACTAAACATTTGCGATGTTTATTTAGACTTGGAGAATTCAAAAACACGTGAAATGAACATGTTAGTCTCATTCGCTACATACAGTATTACAGATTTTATAAAATAATTGCCTTAAAAGACTTCTCCAGAATTAACTCGTCTGAAGTATTGATAAAGAACAACTGATACCCTTGTATAAGAAGTGGCTGATATAGTCCAGCAATCTAGTGGAAAATGCTTTGTCGTTTGAAATAATGAATGGAACCCCCAAATCTCAGCTTAAATTATATCATATATATACATCCAGCTAACAACTCCCTAGTGGAACGAAACTATCATTCCGAATTCGAATAATGGTTACCATCAAAGAAATGAAATCTAGGCCTACTTCACATAATTAGTTTATGACTAAAATCAAACTGTGACTTCTGAATAAAACTAGAATATTTAGGAGGAACGTTCAACTTATTGCGTCATACATTTCTGTTGTCTGAATTTGTTAGGATACTTTTAACTATGGTACTTTAATAAACAGTATGAAAACTATAAGGTGGTGATTGGTTGGAAGAAACTAAATCTAAGTTAGACAATTTGACACCAAATTATAAAAAAGGACATTTTTGCATTCTAGTCATGTAGGATATTTTTAGTGTTATCGGTTGAATTCCCTAAATAATCTGACTTGAAAGTGATTTCATCTTCGAGATTATTAGTGAATTTTGTTTGGTTACTTTCACTGAAATGGTACTTTTTGTTATGTTTGAATTATTTAAAGTATTGAAGGAAACCAGGAAACTGTTGGATATTTAAAAATACCCATTGATGGGCATCGGCTTGTATACGAGTAAAACGTTCTATTGAACTGAAAATACATTTGGATTTTTGTCGCCGACGCTAATAATATCCTTACAGATTTATATAACTTATCGCTTGCTCTCAAAGTTAAGACAGACAATGACTTTATAAACATTATTAATCTTCACACGGAAACACTGTCTGAATAACTTTTACCCGAGAGGTCTTAACCACGAAACAAGAACGTATTTTGATTAAAGAGTAAGTGGTACATTGCCAATAGAAGTTTCATACTAGAGAAAAATAGTTACTGTACACTGTATGATTCGGCGGAATGTACGATTAAAGTCATTTAATGGTGGAAACTGCCTTCAAATAATCTGTTTTCACTTACTGATGAGACAAAATATCAGATGAAAAAGAGAAATCCTAATGAATATCAAAGAAGTACACAAACAATGCCGACTTTAGTTACTATTAAGAGTAAATTGGTAAAAAGCAATAGACTAACTACCTGAACAAAGGTATCCAAACTGTTGTTGGGTAGTATAGAAGGTCAGTAAACGAAAGTTTAAAAACGGATTTTCACGCAACGTTTTATTCGGGTTTTTCTTCCGTTCAATCTACTTTTTTGTGTAACACTTAACTGATCGTTTAATTCAATTTTAGATTTCCCCGTCGACTGATTGAACCGAAGTGTTCGGTTTCAGGTTGACATGTCGGCTCCTTGTGCAGATGCTTCGACATTGTCTTGGCATATAACTTGAAGTCAACTGATGGATGGCGACTAGTAGTGGAATCCAGGGTTCCGGCCACAGTGGGAACACCATCACTCACTGAGGAATGTAGTTACATCCAGATGACGAGTCCTTAATAGGACGGAATGCACATCTTGGGTTCCACTGCTACTCACTACTCACCAACTGACTTCAACTTTACTGATCAGTTACTTTTTCTAAATGCAGATTACAAAATATAGAAGGATGATATTCCATATAAAGTATTTACCTTCATTGACTGATACATAAGGAAGAATGGACTTAAATTATTTGTCCAAGTATATACGAAAGAAATACTCATCGGCCAATATGGAAATAAATGCTGACTATAAGTTAAGTTTCGTGGTAATGTATGCATAGACAACAAAAACAAAAAACAAATCGAAACCTCATATAATCTTATTGACAGACAATATGAAAACGTCAAATTTTAAGTGCTTATCAACATTTCCTGGTTTTATTTCCATTGACATTAAAACTGAAATTAACCAGTGGTATGGGTGATTTCATCAGCAATTGTCATCCTTCAAAGTGGGGTAAAAGCTTCACACTAATATCCAGTTGACTAAATTTAGACATACACATAGTTTAAACAGCATGTAAAAAATTTTGATGTGTGTCTATTGCATTAACGGATACTTATAAGAATATGCATGGACTGTATTAAACAGATTTGATGAAAAAACAATTCAGACTTTATGTAATACTATCAATTTAATCGTTATTTTTTAAATTAGTCCGGAAGATACATATTAATGAATATTACTCAGTTTACTCAATCTGTCATTTAATAAGAATCTTACATCTGTAACAAATAATATTGAGAAATAAATTTACTTATTTATATTTATTGTATTCCTTTAATTTCCGGGTGGAAAATAGGGCTTCAAGCTTCAGCTTTGGAATTCGGTGGCAGCGGTTTTAGTTTTACGGGCGAGGTTGCTAGCCGCTCACCCAACCTTCCTCTTTACTGGCCTTACCACCGGTTAAGCGAGGTATAAGAGTGTATCGGCGAGGGATGGAACCCCGAATCATGCGCACGGTTGGCGTGCGTTCTACCGCAGAAACACCGACGCCCTCAGAAAGAACCTTTCATATTCTTTTATGTAAGTTTAATAAACGTGTTGCAAAACGCAATGGAATTATAACATAACTAACGGGGCAGTGTATTGAAGTCAAAAAAATACGTTTCAGTTGCCTTGCTATGATACTGATGACAGCAGTTAGAAAGTTCCCCTTGACTTACGTTCGCGTCTTTGGGCCCTCATAAAAAATATATTTCCTATATTCCACACCTGAGGTAATCTTACAGGCAGTTATGAACAGTATTATTTCTAGGAAATAATCAACCTCTCATTGACCGCCCTCCCCCCAAACGTCCTGCACTAGATACAACTCATCATTACATCGAATCAGTCAGTTTTGTGGTTTCATTGAAAACTTAATGGACAGAAATCGGTTAGTAGTTAAGGTTGAACAAAAGAATTTTATAGCGACCCAACAACCGTTAGCTCTTGTGTCGATATATTCTTAGTGACTCCTTTTAAACAGTTCAAAAGAATCCAATTAAAAATAATCAACGAATCATTAACTAGTCAAATGAAACTGTTCATCCAAACTGCTGAATGAAATTACTTTCACCTGGTTATCATAACCTGGTCTGAGAATCAAAGAAATATGGCTCAAATTTTGTTAGCACCTGAATTTTCTTCCGGTTTCAGTTATAATTATATTACTTTACCTCTAGCCCAGAAGTCGGTACCATTTCAGATGGTAAAATTCAAGATTAAATATACTGTTAACCAATTGTTTTCATTTTTCATTGTGTAACTAATTATACAAGTGATATTACAATAAAAAGGAGGTTTTTCTTAGGGATTTTATTAGGCTTTCAACTGTTCATTAACAAACAGGAGTAATTTGCCAACAATGGATTTACCAAAGGCTGACAAGATATCTTATACAAACATGGAATATTCACAACTAAGTAGTGAGTTCTAGAAAAATGTCCAATAACATCTAGTCAACTACTTTAACTTTCTGGTCGTTGTATTTACTCCACTTCATATATTGTCCTTACTGAACCTTTTATTTATTGATCGAGCCAAATGCATGAATGTCTATTCGATATTAAGTGGAAGAAATAAGCTTTTATAGTTGAAGCAACAAACTGATAAGAAGCCATTACAGTCTACACAGTTTTCACACACACACACACACACTAATCCGCTTATTTGTTAACTACTGAATGCAATCAAGAGCAAATTTCTATACACACTGGGGAATCGAAGTGACAGAGAATACTTGTGACTTTATTGGATAGGTGGTGCCTTGTAGAGGAATCTAGGATGTGTTTGGTTCTGCTTGGAGCTCATTATTTTTTGCACGCACCACTTATCCAAAAATATCAAAGTTGAAAACATCGAAAGCATAATCTCATTGGGAGTCGACTTGCTAGAAAAGAGACTGATGATCGCAGTTCAGCAAAAAGAAAGCAGGAAATTCAAACTCTTGTGAGAACTTATTTATCCTGAAAGCTTTGGTTTTTGTTGGCACTATCCTTAGCGTTACTTTCACATAAAAATTAAAGCTTGAAGAATGATAAGGTAACACTACTGAGAGAATTTGTTATTGTTCACTGACTGGTACCAGAAACCGGGAGTAGACTGGTAACCTACCCTAACAACGACGCTTATTGTAGCGTTTCCATGTTCACGTAATGAAATAAGTAATATATTATTTAGATATCTGACATTAAATTATGAAGCAGAAAAATGTTTATGAGGTATTTATTTGAACAGCTTCAGAGTTCTTGCCTGTCAATTACAGCAAATGTTGCTTCATAGTTATATCTAGACCTCAGGCTACAAATTGCGATATATAAAAACTTACATTTTCATGGTAATGTCAGTAAAAAGTTTGAGAATTGTGGAATAGATCAAATTGGTTACAATTTAATCGAATAAATAAATAAATTGAATACATTTTCATAATTGTATGCTACTATATACGACTTATTACTTGTGTTCAAGTGCTGCTCATTCAAACTAGGGTATTTAGCGATATCCTGTAGCATCACTCCAACTACTGAGTAAGTTAAAAACACAGACTAAAAGAAATTGACAGCGTGTTCATCTATGAATTCCCCTTAGTGAATTTGAACAAAGCTCCATCTCTTGTTATTGCTTTGTTCGAATTCTGACTAACAGATTTCATAACGGACAGTAATATAATTACAACATTAATGCAACACAAAAAAAATATACTAAAATGCTAACGTGTAGTAGACTTAAACGAAGTAACACTTACCTTTTGATAACAATTTATCTAAGTACGTTTGTATACGTACTGATTTTCTTTGTGAATTATCCATATCATTCTTTGATTCTGACTCTCGGTATCTTAAACGTTTCTGTTTTCTTTCATTATTATTTGGTACCTGAATAGTTAAATTATGTCCTTGACAATTCCATCTATGCGCTGAAAACTGATATTCGCATTCTTTCAAACCCATAAAATAACCACGTATTACACTTTCCATTAAATGTAAGTATTGACGACATAATTTTTTCTGTCTACGTAAAAATCCATTTGGATGATCACATATACTCATTTGTAATTTACCATCAGGACCAACAAATGTCTCTGATGTTATCATATTATTATTATTATCTAAATTTGCTTGTTCCAACTGACTTTTGTTCAGTCGATCATGATTATAATTTTGAATACGATTTGTGTTTAAATCTGTGTGTGCATAATTATTATTACTTGTATATGGATAATTTAAATTCTGTGAATTTGATCCTTCTACAAAACGTAAATCAGAATTCGACTGATGCCGATAAACTTCAGGCATATGATTATTTTTAGTTAATCTGTTCACTAAGTTTGGATCTTGTTGCTGTTGGGATTGTTGTGAACGTCTAGCTTCATTAGTTTCTTGTGATTGTAATATGGGATCCGGTGGAAGAATTTCATCTGGTGCATCTGTGATAAGTAAATCCTTCAGCTGTGCACTAAATGTAAGTAAACATAAAAATGGTATAGCAGTTAACCAAACCGACATTTTGCCAACATATATCATCAAAAGTAGTAATTCATACAATTACTTAAAAATAAATCATTTCTATATTTATACATGTGTCTATGTGTTTTGGTGGTTCCTTTGAAAATATGTTAGTTTATTTCCCCGAAAAATCTGCCTTCATACAAAGTATTCTTCAGTTTCTAGAAGATTTTGAAAGCACAATGAACTATATTCCCACTGGATAGTTTATGGTTTGTTTTTCGGGCTATTGTTATTTTCTTCTTTAATGCTACTGCTTATTGTTGTTCCGCACTTGGAAATAATCCAACGAACTGGTAATCGATTTTTCTTGAAGTCAAATTTATCGTAATATTTTAATATGTACAGTAGAATGTCAGATATTACCAGAGGAGGAGTATAAAAATATTATTGTATGTGCAAAGGCCAATAAGATTAACTAATCGTCTGATTTGAATTTAAATGCTGACAGGATGATTGCCTATCGTTTTTATTAAATCTTAATGTTATATACTCATAAATCATAATTCGTTGACAGAAAGGGTGTAGAAGAACTGGATAGTGAAAAGAGAAACCCCCAATATTATTATATAGAGGATGATAAATTGTTCTAGCATGTTCGTGTATCTTTTTTCATATATATACGTATATAAACGTATTTGTGTGTACATATGTCTACAACACCTTGTTTACATGTTAGATTCAGCTTACAATAGGGGAGGTGGGTGTGAAATATGACCTCCTAGTAAGATATTTAACGCTAATCAAAAACTGACTACAATGTGATTGGTTAATTTCTCACTCTCTTTTTCCAATTCCGTCTGTGTACAAAGATTTTTATGTTCACTATTAAATTATTGTACATTGAGATTTATTACTAAATTATATTGTTTGCTATCTACCTATCTACTAGCTAAATTGTGAACAAAGGCGCATGAATTTATGGGATTAATTGTATCTGTTATAGTTTAGAGGATTGTATGCAGAGAGATCTATGGATTATCAAACAAGATAAATAGTCCTTTCTCTCTTTCCTTCTCTCCTTCTCACCAAAATCCATTTAGATGTCAGTGTCAAAGATTAAAACTCAAGTGTACGTGAATTATAGCCATGTCGACCTCTTTTTGTTCACATGTAACATGTATCATGATCTATACAACGAAATATATATATATATATATACAAATGAACAAATATTATTGAATTCAATTTTAGATTTTCCCGTCGATTGATTGGACCGAAATGCTCAGTCTCAGGTTGACTATCGGCTTCTTGTGCAGATGCTTCAACGATGTCTGGGCATGTATCAGTCCAATCAATCGACGGGAAACTCTACAACTGAATTAAATAATTAACATGACCCGTTGCACAAGAGGTGGCTCTCGTGGCCCAAGTGGTCTAATGGATAACGCTTTGGCGTTTGAGATATCATCACTCACTGCAGAATGCATGGACATCCAGTGACGAGTCCCAAATAGGACGAAATGCGCATACTGGATTCCACCGCTAGTCACCATCCACCAATGAACAAATATTATGTTTAAATAGCATATACCCATATGCATACTGTGTAGTATGGATTTTAATTTTTCTTCTCATATAACACCTGTACTGTCCTTCCCCCAGCTTTTCGGTTGTTCCCTGAGTTATGTCGATGAAATCTGTCTTGAGATGGATAATATCTCTATAATCTTAACATCGGAATAAGTCCTAATATTTGATTTCAGATTTGAAAGCCCTAACGAAAATCTGAATAATAGTTGATTTACAGTCTGGTGATAATACCTGGTTGTCTGAACCTCATAAACAATGATGTACGGTTCGGATTCATGATCAAACCATCTAAAATTAGTTGCTTATGTCAGTGAGTTACACATTCAGAGAATCACAGCTGTGTGAATGAACAGAAGTGAAGCAAAACACTAATTCGTTTGAACATAATTATAAGTGAGGCTTAAAAATGAGAAAGTGAAGTTAAGTGCATGCAATGCAAAGTCGAAATGTATTACATTGTTAGTACAATGCAAAGCAATTACTAGCTCAGTTCTTGAGCACCTGGTGAACTCAGGCCAAGTAGCTCCAGCAGAGTCATTTTTTCGAAGTGTATTAAATGATTCTCCAACTGATGTTGGTTGGTTGCAGATAAGTCTACGTGGAAATCAAAAAGACCCTCCACAAATGCATCACACGATGCTTTATCTGAAATGTTATTGGATAAACTCATTATTGTGCATTAAATCATACGTGCAAACTAGGAGCTGACATATCAACAGACACAGAACATTTCGGTTCAATACAATCAGTCAACGGGAAATACAAAAGTAAATTAAGCAGATAATAGCTGATTTCCATTGTGTCAGAGATGGCTACTGTGACCTAAGTGGTCTGGTGGATAACGCTTTGACATCTGAAACGGTGGGTTCTGGGTTCGAGTCCCAGGGAGAACTCCATTGGAGATGAAGGTACATCCAGATGACAAATCGTAAATAGGATGAAATGCATATCTTGGATTCTACTGTTAGTCACTTCACTAAATAACAACCTAGTGTTAAATATACTTCACTACTATATTTTCTTTACATTCTTACACTAGTCATTCTAATGTCTTTAATAAAGACGTGGATTTGAGAAGATAGTAGCAGTCTGATCACTATAAATTTGCTTTAGAATATAAGTATCAGTGTAAAATCAACCTCTTAAGAGCTTGAAAAATTGCATTGTAGCCCCGATATTTTCCGGTTTAGTAAGAATATTTTCTTCAAACACTAAGCTAATTTTCAAGTATTGGTGTTTTTGTAGGGATTTTGTTTGATTGGTTGGAGGATTTCATCATGAGCTGACATCAGTTAGAGAACTGTTGGAAAACCTGAGAGTACAGGACAGCTTAATGGTCTACGAGCTCGCCTTGTAACCAGAAGGTCCTGGGTTCGAACCCTGATGGTGGATGCGCACTATGAAGAGCCACAAACTAGGCTGACGAAACAGCTGTCCAGTACTCCCAGGTTTTCCAGTAGTTCTCTAACTGATGTCAGCTAATGATGAAATCCTCCAACAAAGCTAATTCTAGATTTCACCATCATTAAAATTCAACATATGCAAGATGAATATGTAGTGTAATGAACGGTGAATTTCGAATTTGCAGATAGTCACGAAATTACTCTTACGTATCTGATTTCCTTTTACTATTTCATACAAGAATCATTACAGAAGAACCCCAGAAAAACTTAAAAAGAACTACAAGCGAGGGGTTTGTAGTTTGGATCTCAGAAGAAATAGTGAGCTGTACTTAGAATGTTCTTGTGAAATTTTTCTACCGTTTTTCCTGTTAGGAATTGTAATTTATAGAATATGATAGTGAAATATTAAGATGTACCAAAAGAGGTTACACTGTCATTTCATAAAACTGATTGATACTCCTTTTTAAAAATTGACTCTCCTTCCCTGATATAATTTTTTATTGCGAATGAAAATATGTACAAACTCTTGTGCAGTAAACGCGTCATCACCAGTGAGGATATTTTTCTAGTCACATTCATAAAAAGGGTTTATCTAGTTGGTCATTTATGGAGTAGAATCAAGACTGTTTAAATGAAACATTTCGTTTGATATAAAAATGTTTAACTAAATTAATGAGATAACACTTAGATATGTACTCAAATATCTAATCATAAGTATTTTAATTCTTGATAAAAACAGACGTGGAAGTTGATTGAACCGCATTAATACAATCATTTATAATTATTATTTGCCGATACTTATCAACTGAAAAATTTGAAATCATAAATTTTGAACAGAAGCGGGATATAGGATTGGTCATCACGAGGCCGATATTTTGACATTCTACTTACCGTCTATTGGAAATTAGTGGAATGAATATTACAACCAGTTGTAATTCCAAGAAGTTGGCAGTGAGTTAAACTTATTGTGTAAGGGCTAGTGATACTGCTTGTCTGTCCGAGCTTCGATAGGTGCAGTCTCACCCACTAGTTGAAAGTCGAGCGCCCACCCCAATGAGCCACAACTTCCCCTTTCCATAAACTAAGCCATACGGCATATGCACTAGTTTGAATTAGTAATTGATTCATTCTGAATACGATGACTGGAGACCATGAGTGAAGACTCCTAGAAATGTATTTTATACAAATTAATACCTTCCCAATAAAAAGTACCAGTGACATATGTGCTATTTAACACCACGGGTCTAGAGAACAATGCTGTGTTACTGTGGTTTTGACAAGATCTTACGGCCTCTAACACGAAAGGCAACAACATGTAAGTGTCTACTGAGTTTAGAAATAGTTCACGCAAAGTATACTGAGTTACGAACATCTTTCACATAATGTGGACAGTAAAGAACATGAAGAATTCATTAGTTTTAAAGTAGTTTACTTCAAAAAATCGATAACAGTTAGCAAACCACAGAGAAGCCAAGTACACTGGTCAGATATTCCACTTCAGCGTGATACTTCATTAGGACGCATTATTGTCTCCTTCCAGGGTTGGGATGACATCATTTACGGTTTTTGGTGAGTAAGCTATCGTTTGGGTGCTGACGTGGAATCTAATGGCTTGCGATTTATGCAGCCTGTTTATTCAAGGAATAGAACCATTTATATTATATGCCGTTAGCTATTAAATGTCCTCATAACCAGTTCATTTGGTTTCAAATATAGTGATTTCTTTTGATATTTACAGAAATCTTTTTCATTGGTAAGCTAGTCATTGTTGTTCAGTTGTTTGTGAAGAAGTGATTTATTTGAGGGCAAAATTCGTCAAAACTCTATGAACTTATGCAATGTGCAAGAAAGTTTAATGAAATTAAATTTAAAACGTCAGATATTTGATGACTGTAAGTTTTCCTGTTTATCAGTTCACTCTGACATTCTAGTAGCAGTATTTGTTTCTGCTCTACCAGCTTTGGTTTTTGATCGTAGATGTTTAATTGCTAAGTTTCATGACATCTTCAGAACTAAATTCATTAAGAAATGATACAAAAGTAGATTTGCTGTACATTTTTGAAAAAAGTAATTTTTCTTGATGAAGTTACTTCTGATATTAGATGGTTTGAGGTGATTGGCAGGAAGCCTTGGAACTAGGTTTCGTGCTAGTTGGCACTCACCAATCAGCAAGACGTATCTGCAACCTAGAAGGGACTCACGCCCCTCAGCTCGATCGTAACGTCTCTGACTGCAACACTGAGTGATGCAGTTTTGAGTCTCAGAAACGACAAGAGTTCCTTCAAGGCTGTAGGTGCGTCACTCTGACGAGTGCCAACTAGCACGAAACCTAGTTACAAGGCTTCCTGCCGATTGCCTCCAACTATTTAATATGAACTATTCAAAGTGCACCGTGATGGAGAGCCACCTATCATGGTGGCCACATTGCCAACATGACTGATAGAATTCAGTCTGCACCAAACAAAGGTTGGTATCTATTGTGTCTAAGGTTCAATAAACAGAAGTTCATATATGAGTCTATTCTGTTGGTACTAATTACATAGATAGGAGCAATTCCTAAAACCTGCTTTTACACATGATAAGAAGACTTGGGTTAGATATCTACATTTTCCAAGGAAATTAAAAGTCCGCTTTGCATCAACCACAGTTACGGGGACTACATCTATAGCCTGATAATA